ATGGTGGGGCTGGTCCTCCATTGGTGGCTTTGACATGCTCTGTCCTGCTCGATGCCCCCATAGCAGGGATTGGAGGGAGAGTGTGGATTGTTGGTGAGGTCCTGCTCAGACACCGATGGCTTAACTCTTCTTTTTAGGGAACCTGTAACTGCAGCTTTGGAATCTGGCTTCCATGGGTCATGGCCATAGACAAGTTCTACCCTTCACTTTCTTCCTCTCTTCTCCTTATGACCAAAAGAGAAGGCCACACCATCTATTTCCAGAGCCTCAAAAACCCTGAACTTTTCTAGAAGTATGAAAGGGCTGAGGCTTCCTTGCTTGGTTCCCTCAGAAAAGACCCCATGAGCACAGGGGTTACCCTGAGGAGTTATTGACCCCAACTTACCTTCCCTAGGGTTCACCCCTACCTGAAGACCTCCTGGCCCTACCAGGTTTGAATATTCCAGAAATGGGGGAGCTCAGACCATCCGGGCCAAAAGGAAACACACCATGGCTGATGTCCACAGTGCACAGTCCAGAAGATTCTGGTGAACACAATCTCCAGGGCAGCATCACAGGTCCCCAATGGGAGATGCTGGGGTCCACTAAAGGAGGGGGTGGGGGATAGGGCCCAGAGGCTGAGGAGCAGTGCAGAGAAAAGTGCCAGGTGAGCCCTGGGATATGATAGGGAATCCTAGCTAAGGGATCTAAACAATAGCAACTGCCAAAGGCCCCTGTTTTGGCCATTATTGGTCCCAGCTACAAAGCCATCCCAAAGGCCAGGGCAGTATCCAGTGTGAGCTCCTGGCCAGCCGGGCTGGCAGTGGTAGTGTAAACATCTGAAATTGGGGAGTGCCTGCTGACCAAGCCAGGTGTTCCCTAGGCTGGGAGTTGCCCAGGGCCCAGGAACAATAGGGGTGAGTTGGTGGAGGAGACTTGAGTCAGAGGGTAGCAGGGCTCTAGGATATTAACTGGGCCCAGTAAAAAAAGGTTCATAGAAATGGGGTAACTGCAGAGAAATGCAGGGAGGAGTTGCTGAACAGAAAGAGGACACTGAGGACAAAGAGAGGGAGAAACAGGAGACTGCAGCTCAATTTGTCCCCTTCTCTTTTTCCACCAGCTCTGTGAGCTCTGGGGTAGGAGGTCCCCGAGTTCTCCCGTTCTGCTAGCTGGGGAGGAAGACAGGACTCCAACCCCCTGCCCCCCATCACATCAGCTCACTTGAAACCGGGGTTTGGGAACAAGGTAGAGTTGAGGGTGGAAATGTCCTGATCAGCCCTATTTTCCCCACATCTACCCCAGCCAGATTTGGGCTCCAGCTCATCCTCCTCTGGGGCTCCAGCTCATCTTCCTCCTCTGGGGGACGCCCCGCCCCAGCTTGCCCACATTGATACTTCCACACCTAACCCCAGGTGACTCAGTCCCGGAAATTCCTATGAATCACAGGCTATTAACTATCCTCAGGCCCCTCAAAAGCAAGGAGGGAGGAGAAGGGAAATCTGGGGTGCAGTGGGGAGGGAGGGATGAGATAGAGGAGAGAGAGAGCATGCTACATCTGTGCCAGCAGGTCCAGTGGGGGCCAGCAGTGCAGAATGTGCCCTCAGTCCCTGGGACCTAAGTACAGAGAAAGTCTGAAGAGAGATGTTTGATAAGTATCTAATTTTAAAAATAGTTTGTGTCTGTGCATAAGGTTTTTTTTTTTTTTTTTTTTTCCAAACTTTGTTAAAAATGTTTATTTAATTGCACTAAATTACTCGCTACGGTTATACATTTAAGTACAGTCACAAGTGCTGGATTTTAGAAATTCACATGTTCCAGATGCCTTTAGCAGAGCAGGCAGAAGGACCGAAGTACACTGCTGAGGGGAGCACAGGCAGCAGGAGAGGTCTGCACGCCATGTGGGATTCTCCTCCGATGGCCGGGGCAGCCGGGGATCGAACCGGCTGCAGAGGCTGCAGGCAGCTTCGCAACCCAGCGCTCAACCGCTGCGCGTGTTGGAGGCCTGGCAAGGTTTTAAAGGATCTTTAATTCATCATCTCCAAACTCTGTTAAAAATGTTTTTTTAATTGCACTAAATTACTCGCTACGGCAGACCCATTTAAGTAGCCAGGACCTACAAGTGCTGGATTTTAAATTTCTTACATGTTCCTTACATGCCTTTAGGAAGGAGGGGGCGATCATTAAGTTTGTGGGTTTCACAAATCAGGTTTTGTAACCGACAGGAACATCTATAATTCTAACGCAGCTGTTGAGGAATTCACTCAGAGCCAGACAGGCAGCAGAGCAGGCATAAAGATGTTCAGAAACTCTGCGAGGGGGCAGTCCTGCGGGAAGGGTGTAGACCATGAGGACCCTCCTCTGAAACCCGGGGAGCAGCCGAGGATCTTTAGCCAGCGCCGCAGTTGCCGCGGGAGCTGATTGCAACCCAGCGGAAACCGCTGGCACCGGGGAGGCCCCATCTCTTGATTTTTAAATGTTAGCTCAAAACAAAACAAAACCGGGCCTCCTTGGTGGCACAAGGGGTTAAGCACAGCACTATGAAGCATTCCGCAGTCTCTGCAGCAAGAGTTTGATCCCAGGCCTGCCAGGGAGCAACCCACATGGCGCAGCAGACCTCTCCTGACTCACCCGCTGCTCCCCTCAGTGTATTTCAGTCAGTCTGCCTGTTCTGCTCCCCACTCTGTCTCTGGTGAACCCTCTCGCCCCCCCTGCATCTCTGGCCTGTACCTTAGCTCTTGTATGCATAAATAAATAAATCTTTTAAAAAACAAAACAAAACCACCCCATAGCTTAAACAAAACAAGTCTCATGACTAGTTTCTAGTTTGGCTTTTATGAAATCTTAGATGGTCTGAGATTTTAAGGATCCTAGGATCATTTAGTTCCATGCTTTGGAAACTTTAATAATAGGCATATAAATACTCTCGGGGAACTGAATAAAATGCAAATTCTGTTTCAATAAGTATGGGTCTGAGAATCTCCATTTTTTTATTTTTTAAGATTCATTTATTTATTTTTGCATAGAAGCACTGGGGTGTAAGCCAGAGGTGCGGGGGCGGGGGTGAGAGGACTCACCAGAGACAGAGTGGGGAGCAGCACAGGCGGATCTACTGAAATGCATTGCTGAGGGGAGCAGCCAGTGAGACAAGAGAGGTTTGCTGCGCCATGTGGGTTAGCTCCCTGGCAAAGATCAAACTCAGGCCACAGGGGTGATAGTGCTGAGACTTAACCCCTAGGCCATCAGGGAGGCCCCTGAGAATCTCCATTTTAAACAAGTTCCCAGATGATGTCACCATTGCTGGTCCACCAATCACATTTTACATAGGGGGGACTTGGTCCATCCTTCCACCTGGGTAGTCCTAAGACTATACTCTCCCTAATCAATAATGTCTTCAGTTCTGCTTGGACACCTCTAGGGACAGGGCATCACTACCTATGGGGGTAGCCTGGGTGCCTGCAGTTGGTGCTGACTCCTGCCAGGCTCTGCAGGAATGGTGGAGGTCACTCAGGAGCAAACATGGCAAGGCCCAGCTCTGGAACCTCAGAGTTCCACAAGAGAAATTTCAGCTGGGGACTTAACCAGGGAGTAGATTGACGATGTTATAGAATGGGTTGTCTGTCCAACTGCCGGCTCAGCAGCACCAAGTTAAACAGAGAATACTGCCACTCTGTGGGTGTTCTGGTCATAAAGATTTGGTGCCTTATGGCCTCCCTGGTGGCGCAAGGGGTTAAGACGCAATCTATGAAGCTATCAGCAGCCACTGTGGCATGAGTTCAATTCCGGGCCAGGGAGTTACCCACATGGCTCAGCAGACCTCTCCTGCCTCGCCCATGGCTCCCCTCAGCAGTGTATTTCAGTCAATATGCCTGTTCTGTTCCCCACTCTGTCTCTGGTGAATCCTCTTACCCCCCCCCACACTTCTGGCCTGTACCCCAGTTTTTGTATGCATAAATAAATAAATCTTTAAAAAAAAAAGATTTGGTGCCATCTATTTACTTACACTTCCCCAAAGCCTTAAAGCAAGCTATTCTCTGCACTTGGCCAGTTACCTGCATATGCCCACAGGAGAAGGAGCCAGTTTCTGACTGACGGGGGACGGAGAAGGGAAGGAGACTTGAGACTCAACAGAGCTCTGGCCTCCTTGGGTCATGTGACATCCATGTGGTCCCAGATCCTCCTTCATGGAGATTTGAGAGGCCCTGGAAAATGGAGGCTCCCCACCCCTGTCCCTGATGGGCTCAGGCTAGGGGCCACATGCTCAGTGCCCCATATCCAAAGGCAAACCAATTTCCACCTAAGTCTACTCTTCTTTTTGCCATGGAAGGGAATCCAAGTCCAGAGAGTGCATGAGACTGTCCCAAGGTCACATGACTAGTTTGCAGGCAGCTCTTGTAAAAACCCAGTATTCTTTCTTTGAGGCGGGGCTGGACAGAAGTCACTGGTATTAACCACACTTTCAGTCATCTATGGCAGCAACCTTCAGAAAAAGGACTATCTGCAATCATCCTGAGGGAAAATGAAATGTCTCAAAAGGAAATTGTGGAAAGGGGTTGTGAGGGTTCACCTTGGAAGGGGGGGTCATGGATTAGAGTCCTTGAAAGGCGGGGCTTCTGCTCTAACAGAACCCCAGGGGCAGCATTCATCTGGTCCTTTGGTGACCGTTGCCCCCTAGAGTTCTATTCCTTGTGCTGTGCAGTGCACCACCTGTGAGGCCTGGGGAGGGAGGCCTGCTAATGCTGGGGGCTGGGTGTATAGGGGAGGTGGCAAAAGGTCACGATCACAGGGGTTCCAAGACCTAAAGAACTAGAATCCCTGCAGTGGGTCCTCCCCGCAGCCTGGGAGCACTTAATCAGAGGTACTGGGACATCTGGCTTGGGTGGGAAGTTCCCCCAGGCTGGGGAAAAGGCACCTGTCTACCAGGAAGAGAAGCGTCTCCCAGAGGTGTGTAGCTCCCTTAGTGAGAGGGAAGACTGGCAGTTGGGTGTGGGAGCCAAGGGGGTAGCACCTGTAGGGGCCCAGCGTCACTTTCCAGAGAACTGGCCGGACCTCGCCTTCTCCAGTTTCTGGCGTCGCTCAGGGGGAATCTCCTGCAGGCTGATGCCGTGGCTGCTGGCCCTGCGGAAGGCCGGGCGCCGTAGTCTCAGGGAGAGGGTGTTAGGACTGGGCCCTGGACAAGATCACTTCTCCCCAGTTAGGGGTCTGGGAGGGTGAGACACTGGTGGGAGGTGAGGGGTGTCAAGGGACCGACCAGGCATGCTCCGTAATGCGCCCCGCCTGTGGATGCGGGATCCTCACCCGGGTTGCAGGTCAGGCGGTTTGGGGATGGGCTTGTGGAAGCCGCGTCTGCCCACCAGCCAATACGTTTCCTCTGTTCCCTTGCCCTGGGAAGACACCCGAGAGGGCACTTAGGAGGACTGGAGTCAGGGAGGGGTATCTCCAGGGCTAAATGGAACCCGGAGTACCAGGGTCAGGCATGCAGAGTTGTCTTCTAGGCCCCGTCCAGCAGGGGGCGGGACCCGGCCTCACCTTCAGCTCCGTGCGGCCTCGCACTTCCACCTGGAAGCCCTCGTCCAGGGCGTGGAGAATCCGCACAGTGCTCACGTTCACGTGGATGCGGTAGGCTGGGACAACCGAACGCAGGGCTTGGGACTCATCCCCAGAGTCCTACTCCTTGTCCATCCCCCCTTTCGAGCCCCATCTTCCCCAGCCCCTCTCGCTCCCATCACACTCACGCAGCCCTGTGGACTCCATGCGAGAGGCAGTGTTGACGGTGTCCCCAAATAGGCAGTATCGTGGCATGGTGAGGCCCACCACGCCCGCCACACATGGGCCTGAGGAGATGTGCAGAAAAGGTAGCTGGGGGGCACCTAGGTCCTTGGGGAACTTTAGCACCCCATAATCTCCACCAGTGACCCAAAGAAACACTTTCAAACATACCCTCTCGATGCAACACAATGACTGGTGTGCAAAGGTGGCTTCAAGATAAGTTCCCCCACTGCCCCCCCCACCCTCCACGAGGCTGCCTCCTGTATAGGAAGGGTGGGCCAAGCCCTGAGAAGGAGATGGACTGGAACCCCGGGGCTCTGGGAGTTACCAGAGTGCAGGCCGATGCGGATGCGCACGGGCACCTGAGGCATGTGTCGCATGCGAAAGGAGCCGACTGCGCTGAGGATGTCTAGGGACATGTTGGCGATCTCCACAGCATGACGCTGCCCATTCCTCTGTGGCAGCCCGGAGGCCACCATATAGGCATCCCCAATAGTCTCCACCTGGGGGAAATGTAGTACTGAGCACCCCTCTTGCCACCATGTTTGTCCCTTGTAGGAGGCCTAAACAGGAGTTAGTTAGAGCTCCTAGGGAGTCTTTCAGGTGGGGGACTGAGCTAGGGACTGGCAGAAGTGATAAGGCACGAGAGGGGAGGGAAGGAGATTGGGCTGGTGGCCTGGGGCAGGTAAGCTAGGGGCTTAATAGAAAGGCCTGGGCTAGAGACTGGTGAAGCTTGAGAACTTACTCCCTACAAACCCCACCTTGTAGACATCATGGGAGCCAATGATGGCATCAAAGAGCGTGTAGAGGTCATTGAGCAGGTCCACCACCTCGATGGGCTCACTCATGGATGAGATGGTGGTGAAGCCCACAATGTCACTGAAATACAGTGTCACCTCCTCAAAGTACTCGGGTTCCACAGGCATCCCCATCTTCAGAGCCTCAGCCACAGACCTAGGGATGGCAGGTCATGAGCTCACAGGGCTGGATTCCAGCTGCCCTACCCACCCACTTCCCCACTGGCACCCACGGAGGCAGCATCTGAGTAAGGAGTCGATCTGTTTTCTGCTTTTCCAGTTCCAGCTCCTCTGTGCGTTCCCGGATCAGGTCCTCTAGGTTACTGGAGTACTGCTCCAGCATCCGTAGCATGGAGTCGATGATGTTGGTCTTCCTGCCCTTGTTAATGCTCTTGAACTAGCAAGAAGGGGAAGCTAGTGAGGCTTCAGAGGCCCTGTGCTGCCATACACCTTTCATGGGGCTGTCCTGTGCCTGATCCTCTCCCCTCCATTCATCTGCTCATTAAGCACCCTCAGGGGGCAGGCCACTGTGTTTTTAGATATTGTTAGAGGCACATGGAAAAAGGGACTCTACTCCTCACGTCCCCTGGTTCTACAGAACTGTAGAACCATCCCAGCTTTTGAACTCTGAGGCTAGCTGTCTTCCCTCCCTGCCCCCATCCCATCCACCCCCCAGGCCAAGATGGTCTTTCTGCCACAGTAGGCCAAGCGCATAGCTGGTTCTCAATAAATGTTATTTGAGTTGAATTAAATATTGCTCTTACCCAGAGCACCATCTCCTGCTCCAAAGGCCTTCCCAGGCCTCTTCTAATTCTGCCTCCAACAAACCCCCAGTCATCAGGCTACTCCTTAGGAAGCAGCCTGGAAAGTGAGGCCCTGATAGCTTCCTTTCTGCAGCCTCCCCAGGTTGCTGACAAGCCCAGTCCCTGCCCAATCCCAGTCCCTGACCAGGTCAAAGGTGCGATCCATGGAGGGTCGAAGGTCCGGCTGCTCTGCCCAGCACTGTTTCATCAGCTGAATGCACTCTATGGGTGCCTGGTCCATGGTCACCAAGGGCCGACACAGTGGAGGGGGGCTCTGCACCCTCTGCACCACTTCTGGAGGCATGAGAGGACTTGAGAGGTGGTGTCCAGAGTAGAAGTCACCTCTGACTCTGGCCTGATTGTTGAAGTCCAAGGTAGGGGGATTGGCAAGAGGCCCTTTATATTATTAGTGTTTCATTGGGGGATTTATTTGGGGGGGGGTATAGTATGGAAAAGGATTGCTGGAAGTAACAAGAGGACCCTAAACCCTGGGGGCAGAGGACAGTAACACGTGATGGGCAAAGACACTAACATTTATTACACATAAGAAAAGTGAGAGTTTGAGTGACCAAGTGGCTTGCTGTGTCCTCTAGATAAGTAACATGGCTTTGAACCAGACCCCACTGCTCTATTCTCCCCTCCCCAGACGCTGCTTCTTCCCTGGGGCTCCTGAGAACCATGTTGGTTGAGGAGCAGGTTGGGTCCAGGATCAGGACAGAAGAATTAATTGAGATCTGGACTAGGAAGAGTCACCTTCCCCTCCTGATGCTTGGCTCTCCACTACCCTGATGCTTCAGAACCCAGCTTTCAGGGAGGCCCGGAAAATTTTCATCACCAGACGTTGGGGAAATAGGAGAAAGAGTAAGGCTGAGAATGGCCTGGCTTTGCCTAATAGCACGGTGCCTTTCAGTCCCAAGTGCTAAGCTGGGGGCTACCTACCCTCGGGGGTCAGCTGCAGCATGGCGTAGGGGGCGCTGCGGCACACGACCTCCTGCATGATGATGCCCAGGCTGAAGACATCCCCGGCAACCGTTCCCCGGCGCTCCAGGGCCGGGTCCCGAAGCAGCTCTGGGGCTGTCCACAGCTGGTCTGGGGACAGGGAAGGGGGCGAGGGCGCGTGGAAAGCCTTGGGGACGATGGCGACAAACCTCCATCCTCACAAGAAAGCCCAGGCTCACCACTCACCACCGGCCCCCTCCACACCTAGCCCGACTCTAGCCCCGCAAATCGCAACTATCCCCAGGAAAAACTATCAGAAACCAAAAGCCTGTGTCAGAGAAAGCCCGGCCCTTACAAATAGCAATAGGTCCCGCCCTACAGGCAAGGCGGTGCCCAGGAAAGACTCCTCCTCTTGGGTACAAAGCCTGCCCTTAGGGGAAGCCCCGCTTAAAGCGACTCTGCGGGACCCGGAGGGGCTCCGCCCCTCAGGAACAAGTCTTGCCCCCTAACAGGCCTCGCCTCCCCAGTCCTAGAGCCCGGCCTTCTCATCTCAGAGGCCAAAAGACCTTTTCCATAGCAGCAGTCGCATCCAGTGAGTGTGTAATGGAGAGAGAGCGAGGGCGGGATAAAAGGAGGGGCCCTTGAAATAATGGGGGTCCCGCAGAGAGTCTCATCCGTGCGCTCCGGAGGCAACAGGGAAATCCTACCCTCCGCACCCGGAGGCTCCGGGAACACCCTCTGCGCCTCCAGCAGTCGCCCGTGGCCGTGGTCAGTGACTTTCAGCACGAACCTCCCGTCCACCACGCAGTTGCGTGACTTCAGCCGCCCGTGAGCCACGCCTCGATGGTGCAGGTACCGCATTCCCTGGAAGGGGTGGGTAAGAGGCAGCCTCGGCCCTCGGCCCTCGCAGTTCCCTTGTCTTCTCCCCCCAACCCCCCACCTCCCCCCACACCTTGATGAGGTCCAGTAGGAGGGAGGACTTGAACATCCAGTCCAGCTTTAGGTCTCTCTGGGCCAGGAGGTCGTGCAGGGAGCCCCGGGCGTAGTGCTCGGAGACTACAGCCAGCACGCCTTCCCCCAGGCCCGCGTTGCCGTCTGCTCGCCCCGCCAGGAAGAGCCCCAGGTAGAGCGCCACGTTGTCGTGCCGCAGCTCCCGGAGCTGAGAGGGAAGGTAACAGGCATTCTGTGAGTGCCCTCATAATCTGAACGTGATGGGGGCGGGGGAGGCTAGCAGGTGACTGGTGCCCTTTCTAGCTTTTCTTCAGTCCACATGCCCGATAAAGGGCTTCTTTATAGTTTAAACACCTGCTGGTGAACGGTGGCTTAGTCCACTGACTGAGACAGGGAGTCCACTCAAGCCATTCTGCAGTTGTGACCAAGAGTTCCTGTGGAGACAGTGGAAAGGAGACCAGGCCAAGGCTACCGTGGTATTGGCGGGAATGAGGCTTTATGTTTGAAAGGACCAGAAAACATCAGTTTACAGCTTCCTTGCCAACTTTCCTTTTCACTCAGCGAGCATCAACTAGTCGCTCTGTACAATGACCTGATAGAGTTGGAAACTTTTTTTTTTCTGTCATTCACTCAACAAACATGCATCAAGCCTCTCTAACATTCCAGACATTGCGCTGGGTGCTGGAAATACAATACAGACAGCAGAGGGAGTCCCTAACTCAGCTTGCAGAAAAGTAAGGGGGAAATAAGCAAGCAGGTGATGTCCCATTTCAAATTATGCCAAGAACGAGAGAGAGCATAATAGGAAACTTGCTTCAGAGGAGGGGACACATCACTGAAGCCTCTTGGTTTCTTCCCTCTGGGGCTCTGCACCCAGCTACAAAGAGAAAGCAAGGAAGGCGGCACCCTATACCGGGTCATGGGCCCAGCTCTCACCTTGGAGAAGGCTGTCCTGGTTGCTGGGCGGACAGTTATGTGCTGATCCCCTGGGAATTTCTTCAGCCAAACCCACTCTCCCTGGAACAGAGAGATGGGAATAGTGGTCAGTTCCCCAATATCCCATGATGGGGGAAGCTCTAGAGTCTCCTCGTTTCCATTGGTCCCTGCTCCAGAACACATTTTGCATGGACAAAGAGCATTAGGTGCAAGGGGCTCATGTCTGCCAGTCCGCAGACAGCTGAGTGACAGCCCACCCCTGAGGGTGATGCAATGGGCTATGGCTGTGGTCCCCAGATGCACTCACCAACAGTCCTATTAATCAAGCTGATTAATAATTAATAATAATTAATCAAGCTGATTTTAATTTTACCATTAAAATCACAGCCCTCCACAGTACTATCCATTGACATGAGAGCACTGTGCTGGGAATCAGGATTCGGGGTAGAACAGGCTTTATTACAGGCTAACTGGAATAGGGTAGCTCCCCTTTAGACTCTGGGCCTCATTACCCCCAGCTGTTGATAAAGCCAGTTCATGGACTCCTTCCTTCATTTTCATTTGATCCTAAATGTTGAAAATTATATGGCAAGGGCAAGGGATTTAGACTCAGAAGAAATTCTGAGGGGTTGGTACTGACTTCCAAAGAGCACTCAGAATTAAGTATGTAGACATTTTCAATTGTCGCCAAAATGGGGGGCTGTATTTAATGGACAGGATCACAGATAAGAAACACTGAACATTCAAGGCACAGGGTAGTCCCATACAATGAAGACCGACCTGCCCAAAATGACAACAGTGCCCCTCTGAGAAAACCAGGAGGGGTGTAAGTGACATGCGAATAGCCTCAGCATTCTCTCTGTGACCGGACACCCAGAAACTCTAAATCTGCACTCCCCTCTAGATTTGCTGAGCTCCCTGTCAGCTCTCTGAATCTATTCTCATCATCTCCCACCCATCCAAGTACATTCAGATTTGTTGACCCTGTAGTTACTGTCCTTATGCCCTTTTGTGATTTTCTTTATTTTAATTTAAAAAAAAGATTTATTTACGCATATAAGAACTGGGGTGTAGACCGGAGGTGTGTGGGGGAGAGAGGATTCACCAGAGACAGAGTGGGGAGCAGAACAGACAGATGTAGTGAAATACACTGCAGAGGGGAGCAGCAGATGAGACAGGAGAGGTCAGCTCCCTGGTCAGGGATGGAACTCATGCCGCAGTGGCTGGCGATAGCTTGATAGCACTGTGTCTTTAACCCCTGTGCCACCAGGGAGGCCCTTGTGATTTTCTTTTCTACTGTAAGACTTGCTGTACCTGAATCTGCTCTGAATTGGGTAGAAATGCTAGATGGCTCATTTGTGTTTGGCCTGAGTCAGGTAAAGCCCCTTCTGGAAAGTCCTCATCCTAAAAATTTGTGTTCAGGACATGTCTTTTTTGTGATCATGAGGCCTTTCTGCCTCAGTCCTTCCAGGGAGGACTGTCCTGGTTCCCAGCAGCATCCTTTAGTAATCTGAAGACTTGGATCAGGCTGAGGTGGCAAGGCCAGGGGCTCCCAACAGGGCAGGGTATTACCTTAGTGACCATCATGCTCCCCACCAACTCAGACCTCCAGCCTCGGGGCCACTGTGATTGGCTTTTGAGGAACCCTCACTTGGATAATGGCTAAGGGGAAATCCTGGAGCTGGGCAGATTCCCTGATGCAACACTTTGAGGAATCCTTGACCTCTTCCCTAGGTCTGTTTGGGGATCTCGGCCATCCCAGTTTCCTGCACACTACTGCATGGCTCCCTAGAGAGGCTGCCTCTTCTCTGCCAGGGACCTGAATGCCCCTCCTCTCACTGTCCGTCCCTCCAGGAATAGAACTCAGCCTAGCTGAGTGTCTAGGCTGAACCAGCACAAGGGTTGGGCCCTCATGGGGGTCAGGCTTACCTCATAGAGGCCAATGTTGGGGCTGTCTGGGGGTTGACTGGGGCCACTGCAAATGTCTGATGTGCTGCGGGCAGCCAGACTGGATCGGCTCCCCGGGGCTATCTAGAGGGTAGAGGTCAATGCAAGGGGTCAAAATATACTGTGGAGTCAGAGTCCTAGTTGAGGTCAGGCTGAGCTCTGGCAACTAAAGAGGGGAAGGGAAGGAATCTTAATTAGGAAGGTGATCAAGTATTTGCTTTCCAGGTGCTCTTCACACTTAACAAAACATACTGTATTCATTTTCTTGTTGGAGCATCACATAGCCCCAGAAAAGCAGCCAGAATGGGGGTTGTTATGCTTATAGCACACCAGAGGGCGCTGATCCCAGACTTCAGACCTGGGACACACCTAGGGCAGAAACCAGGCCTTCCCAGGTGAGGGTTGTCCTGGGAAGGGGACCAGATGTCCAGGGAGAAGACAGTTGTGTCCCCAATTCCCTGCCTCCCCCACCTTTTGAGAGCTGCCCCCCGGTGGGTGGAGGAAGGTGATGTCGTCCAGAGTCAGGATGATCTTGTTGGGGCCAGAGGCCATTTGGATGTGCAGGAGCCGGTGCCTGGTGGGGGAGGTAGGTCATCTCCGCAAAGGGGAGCAAAGTTCATAAGAGGTCATCAGGGCAATGTTGGCTTAGGAACAGGCAGCTATCCCTATGCTAGACATCCCCTGGGACTCTGCCAGCCCACTGGGATATTCCCCTTTCTCCCTCCAAATAAATCCTTCCTTCCATTCTTGAGTGGGCCCTGCCTGCTTTATTTGCCACATGGTTGTGTTTCTGGCTAATGGAGAACAACTTCACCCCCTACTTACCTCACTCTCCTACTCACCTCACATAGCGGGCCAGGAAGGCCCCTGTCAGCCCCATCCCAACCACCAGGAGGAATCCCATAAAGACAAGGCCGGGTTCCACTCCTGGAGGAGCAGTGAGAGAAGGGAGGCTGAGGACTTTGCCAAGGGCGAGCACCTTCTCTAAGGAAGTGTGCAGTTGTGTCAAATCCTGGAGGCTCCAGGAAAGGGGACGGAAGACAGGAAGGGGATGTAGGGGAAGGTCATGGGTTTTGTGCAGCGTTTGGGAATGCTCGAAAGCTTTCAGAAGGCTTTGGGAGCTCAGCCAGAGAGAACACCTGCATATATGGGAGGGCTGATGGGGATGGGGAAGGCCTCATGGAGGAGCTAGAGGACAAAAGTTCAGTCGCTTTCACTACTTCGTGGAGGGTTATGGTGACTCTCCCAGTGGGGCTGAGGTGCTTGCCCTCACCTCCATTGCAGATGATGTCTGGGTCAAACCAGCATGAGGGGTCAGGCCCGGGCCCCTGTCCCCCTCTAGGGAAATGCACCGGAGTTCCAACAGAGCGGAGGGAGCCCCGGGTGGGGTCCAGCAAGTATGTGGCAAACAGCCAGTTCCCTGCCGCGTCCGTGTCCAGCAGCACAAAAGGGGGCTCCTCGGATCTTCCCAAGACCCCACAGAAGCCAGGCACCTGGGCATCCTGGACATGGCGGGCCACCGCTGCTCCTGACACCCAGCCGCCACCTGCGGCGGTCCGAGCTCCCACCACACCCCTGGCCAAGAAGAAGACTGCATCGTAGATGGTGCCAAAGAGAGGGGATACCTGGGCAAGCAGAGTAAAGGGTTCAGGCCTTACGGTCACTGCCCCTATTTAGTCGGGCACTTACTGTACTTTTATTGGACCCTTCAAGACCTTCAAATTTCTGGGTGTATTGACTGGTTCCTCAAATCCTTCTCCACGGGATCTCCATTCCTTTCTCCCCATTGGTTACCGCTGTTTCTCTTCCCAGGGGCAATCTCGCTCCCTCTTCTCTGGCTTCCCCATCCCTCCCCCTTCCTTCTTTTTCAGGATCCTGGGACCTTTCAACCATTCATTAATTCTAATTCCATCTCTCTAGCTCCTCTTTCTGCTCCCTTGCATGTATTTCAAATCTCATCATCTAACTTTCACCCACAAGTCTTTCTCATCTGAGTTGGCATCGACTTTGCCTTCTCTTTCCTTGAGGCTACAACCTGATCTCAAGACCTCTATCATCCCCAGTTCCTTTCTCTCACAGTGTACAAGGCAGAGACCCTGTCTCAAGGAAACTCTGGTGTAGTGGGGGGGGGGACGGACAGAGATGTTATGGCACTGCAGTGACTAATAGCAGGGTTGAGGGGGGAGCCACAGGACAGGAAAAAGGGCCAAAACCCAGCCTGAGGGAGGAAAAGGAGGCTTCCAGAAGAACTGACCATCCCTTAGAGAGTGAGTCAGAATTATCCCAGGGAGGGTAAAGACAGGACTGAGGGAACAACACACCCAGCAGCACAGAGGCAAAGCGATGGACAGATTTAGAGAATCCAAAGTAGCTCAGTCTGGCTAAAATTCAAGGAAGATGGGAGAGAGAGGAAGACATGTGAAGAGACCTGCATCTCTCCAAGGCAAAGATGTCTTTGAACAAGGGTGTGAGATGCCCAGATTTGTCATATTTCTGAAGTTCTACCTGGTTGTTGGGTGGATAAAGTCCTGGAGAGCCGAAGCAGAGACCATTTGGGAAACTGTTTCAGGATTTGGGCCTGAGGGGCTATGGCCTGTCGCAGGACAGTGGTAGTGAGAATAGAGAAAATGGATGGAATCAGATGACCTTTAGGAAGTAATAGTGACGGGACTTGACCTCTGGATGTGGGGGTGGGAGGGTTAGAGGAATCAAGGGGGACTCCCCAGGGCCTTGCTTGGGCAGCTAGGTGAAAGGCTCTGCTGCTTACTGAGCACTGAAGAGCTTTTTCTCCAGTCCTCTTTCTCCACTTGCCCTCCATTCCTTCCCGCCACTGTTCCTAACTCTTGTTATCTTCTTACTGACCAGGCCCATGCTTTCCCCTGCTGTCTACCCCAAATCCTCTTGGGGGAGAGTAATGGCGTTCATGGGAAATGTTTCAGGCCTCTCCTGTGCTGCTTTTGAGTAGGGTCTTTGTGGTGTTAAGTTTACTGCCCACTGACCTCTAAAGTCCTTTCTGTTTTGTGGGCTCTAGCACCCCTTTTTAGAATGGGTTGGTGCTAGATGGTCTGAACAGGGATTCTGGGTCCACAGGGACTCCTGCGTATTAGCAGGTTGTGGGAAATTAGCTGTGGATCTAAATGACTATGAAAAGTAACCGTTTCTACCTAGAGACCTTTCTGCTCCTCACAGCATGTCAAAGTCCTCAACACATACGAAGACAGATGAAGCTCCAGAGGACACAACTCTGAACTGGACATGGAGGTTGAGTCTGCATTCCAGCTCCTTCCTGCTCTCTTAAGAACACCAGCTGTTTATCATGGACTGTACGCTGGTGCTGGGGAGGGGGTGGTGGTGGTGGGGGGTCTACTCTAAGTGGACTGTGCCAGGTGTTGCAGGATAGTTTGTTAGAGTTTAGTCCTTGTAGCCAGACTGGAGAGGTCTCATTGCCTAGTCTCTGGAAGCAACCCCTACACACTAACATGCCCCCATGCAAGACCAAGCCTCCACATTACCTGGAAACTCCAGAACAGCTAGAGCTGCTGGTAGCTCTCCTCTCCCCATTGGCCCAGTTTCCCTCCTTCCCATGGACTCCATCTGCCACTCACTCCACTGACCTGATCTAATTCTTTCTCATTGGCTTCATTCATCCCTCATCCCATTGCCTTTCCCCATCTTGGTAAACTATGGCTCCACACTCTTTGTCCTGGGCTTTCTCTTCCTCTCTATTACCTCCATCCTCCCTGCTTTGGTTATATATCCCCTGCCCACTTGCCTCCTCCCTGGTCCATCTACCTGCTGCAGATTGAGGTCAGGGGGCAGCTCCTGGTGCTCTTGGGCCCTTCGCAGACTGTCCAGCACGCTGCCTCCCAGGGGACAGTGGCGGGTGAGTGTGAGTACCGCATCGTGGGCTCTGCGAAGCTGGGAGCTGTTGGCCAGCACTGCCACGGCCTCGGGACCGGGAGCCAGGGCATAGTGGAGCGTGTCGAAGGGCAGGAAGACCAGGGAGCCGTCAGTGAGGCCCAGCTCCTCTGCGGCCTCCAGCAGGCTGCGCTGCTCCCCGCCGCCCAGCAGCACCGAGTGCATCACCATGATCACTGCTGCGGATGCATAGACTCCACTCACCACCCAGCAGGTCTGGGGCGCAACCACCGACTTCCATGCACCCTGCAGGGACGCCTACCTCGGACACGGGGCCCGTCTCGGACCCTCCTCAGGGCCTCCCGGGCTCCAGACAGGTCTGAGGGCTCCATCGAGGTCACCAGAGCGACAGGCAGGCCCCGGGCCCTGAGCGCCGTGGACAGGGCACGTCCTGCCTCCACCCACAGGTCCTGTGGGGCGGTGACCAGGGCCACGCGCGCCCAGCGGAATGCGCGCAGAAAGGCGTAGAGGACGTCTGCGGCGGGCGGAAGGGCGGGAGCCGTGGTGCCAGCCGCCTGCGCCCCGGGGCAGCCCCAAGGCACCAGCGCCACTCTCGCCTCTTGGGCCAGCAGCTCGGCCGGCCGGCAGACTGCGGGGTTCACTGGACCCACGAGCGCCGACACGCGGGTCAGAGCCGAGGACACGGCGCCCAGCGCGCCCGGCGTGCGGCACGGCTCGGGCAGCAGCGCGACCTCGAAGCGAGGGCCACCTGCCCGCGCAGAGTCCTGGTTCAGGCGGGCGGCGGCCAGGCGGGCGGCCAGGTCCGGGCGGGAGCGAGCGAAGATGGGGTCGCAAGCCCAGGGGCCCAGCACCCCCACTGTGAACACAGCGGAGACGGCGGGGCGCGGCTGGAGCAGCAGCAGCAGCGGCAGGAGCCCCAGCGCGGGCCGGGGCCGGGGTAGGGGTCGGGAGAGGCGGGGAGGGGACCGAGCGCACCGCGCGGGGGCGCAGGCGGCCATCGCCAGCTTCTGTGAACACAAACAGCCAAATGGAGGGAGGAGACCCCCAGAGCTCGTTTAGAGCTCTCTCCGAACCCCGGGCCTCTCAATTCCCAGTAAACCCAGGGCGTGCCTCCTCCTCCATAACACACCCCCCTCCGCAGGCTTGGACGGCGGTGGAGGTCGAGGGCTTGGCCTGGAGGCGACCCCAAGCCCTCACGCCCCGGCTTCCCGCTCCCCCAGCGTCCGCTCCGCCCGCTCCTCTGAGCCCTGAGGGTCGTGTGGGGACACATCCACGTCCTTCTATGGTTTGTCTAGAGCAGAAGGGACCTGGAGCCCTTGTGGAGGGGCCTTTGCCACTCACCGGGGCCGGGGGAGGGGTCACAGGGTCGAGCCTCCTTTTGATGCCTACCCACAGGTCTCCTTTGCCAGGACCCGGGCGTGGGTGTGGGAACAGCCGGCCAGAGCCCTTAATCTCACCCAAGCTGATTAGGGTATCTTAATCGGGCAGGGAGGGGCTGCGGGAGGATGGGGCTCCCTGAGGCGGAATCTGTCCTAGTTTGCTGGCTGCGAGCCAGATTCTTTCCCCTTCTGGCCTCCCAACCTGTCTTGCCCTCCCCTGGGCCCTCACTCCTCACCGGCCATAACCCCTGGCCTGAAAGCATCTGACAGCTCCCTTTCAGCCTCCCGCTGCACTTCCCCTGCTCTGCCCCGAAAGCGACAAGATGTGCCCATGACACCTGTGGGTGATCAGTCCTGGGGGGTAGTGCGCTCAGTTCCACGCCAACTACCCTTTACAGTCCTGCCAGCCAAGTCCGAGCTCCATGCCTTCGTTGGCAAAGTCTATACTTCAGAGACGGAACCCAAACCTTTCTTCTCTCTCCTGCACACGCTTGATTCCTTCTCTGCGCCTAGGAAACCACGTCCTTGGTCTTGGGAAAGCAGAACCCTGGGGATACTAGAAAGAGCTCCGGTTTTGGGCAGACCTAGGTTCGCAGCCTTCCTTATTGACCTTGTGACCTTGGAATTTTTTTTTTTTTTTTAATCTTCACTTCAGGGCCTCCCTGGTGGCGCAGCGGTTGAGTGCTGGGCTGCGAAGCTGCCGGAAGCCTCTGCAGCACCGGTTCCATCCTGAACCCACATGGTGTGCAGACCTCTCCTGCCGCGCCCACTGCTCCCCTCAGCAGTGCATTTCGTCAGTCTGTCTGTTCTGCTCCCCACTCTGTCTCTGGTGAATCCTCTCACACTCCCGCACATCTGGCCTATACCCTGGTTCTTGTATAAAATAAATAAATAAATCTTTAAAAAAAAAATCTTAACTTCATCTTCCTTTTTTTCTTAAAGATTTTTATTTATTTTTGCGTAGAAATAAATATTTTCATTTATTTTGCGTATTTTTGCGTATTTATTTTGGGGCTGAAAGGATTCACCACAGACAGAGTGGGGAGCATAGCAGGCAGATCTACTGAAATATACTGCTGAGGGAAGCAGAGGTCAAGTCAGGAGAGGTCTGCTGCCCTGAGTTGGGGATGGAACTCAGGCCATAGCGGTGATAGCTCTGAGACTTAACCCCTAGGACACCAGGGAGACCTCTGGAAATGTTGTTTAATCTCTCTGAAGGTTGTTGTGAAAATGTCCTGTGATGATGAGTATGGTTGCCTATATGGATTGGATAAGTACGTAAGTGGACACAAGGGATAAGGCAATTTTAAAGAAGAATGTGATGGGATACTTGCCCTACCACATATCAAAATTTAATACAAAGCTATAATAATTCAGATGCTGTGGTATCAACACAGAGTTAAGCAAATAAACCAACAGGACAGATTAGAGAGATTGAAATATACCCAACGAAAATGAAAATTTATTGTATGAAGAAGTGGACCTTTCTTATCAGTGGGGAAAGAACAAGCTATTCCACGAATGGAGCTGGTTAGTTTGCCATATGGGAAGGGGAGGAAGGCAGTAGAATTAGATCCCTAACTTAAACATCAATTCTAGGTCAAGATATACACAAAAACAAAACTTAAGAACTTTTATGTGAATCATTTTCAACCACCATGGCAAAGATGGGACCAGGCATGAATCATCAGTGGATGCTGAAGGATATTTTCATATCTTAAAATGGCTCCCTATAGATAGTGTACAAGTTGGAAAGGAGCAAAGAAACAAAAAGAGGTAATTATACAGTGAAGAAATCAGGCCACACTTTAACCAGGTGATCAAAATCAGCTAATGTGGGGCAGATCAATATCCTGCCCCTCCTGACTGGATACCTAGAGAAGGACATAATACTAAGTCTGGATGTCACAGAGTGGGTGCAGTGGAGCACAGTACAGCACTCTTTGCAACTGTGCAGCATGCCAGTGGAGTGCAGTACTTCAATCTAGTCGTGAGGAAACACTGATACACATAAAATGAGGAACATTCTACTGAAAAAAAGGAGGAAGAGGGCTATATTCTTCCAAAATTTCAATATCATAAAAGACAAACAAAGGTTCTGGAACTGTTCCAAATGAAATGAAGCTTAAAAGACATGACAATTAAATGCAATGCCTGCATCTAATTTGGGATCCTGTTCTATAGGATTTTTAAAACTGCTCTAAGGTTATAGGATTTATAGAATTGCATAAATGCTACAAAGATATCAACATCAAATTTGTCAACTAACAAAACTAGGATATGAGCGGGAGATTTGATAAAAGTAGCTTGTTAATGTAAATGTATGAAACTGATAACTACACTATCTTTATATTAGAGACTATCCCTATTCACTGAAATGGAAACATACACTGAAGTATTTAGCTGTGAAGCACCACAATGTATGTAACTTACCCTCAAGTAGTTCTGAAAAAATACATGTATATATTATATGCCTTATATATCATATGGATCAAGTGATAATGGATAAAATGTCACACTAGATAGAGATGAGGAGTGGAATTTTTAAACTTTCTTATGTAATGAAAAATGTTAGCCATTTTAAGTACACAATTTCACAGCATTACCAACTATCCATCTCAAACTTTTTCATCATCCCAAACTGAAACTCCATACCCACTAAACAGTAGCTCTCCATTACCCCCTCCCTACAGCTCCTGCTAACCTCGGAGGTTCCTATTCCTATGTATATGACTAATCTAGGGTCCTCATATAAGCAAATTCATACAGTACCTTGCTTATTTCATACAGTACCTTGCTCATCCATGTTGTTACATGTGTCAGCATGGTCTTCCTTTTTAAGGCTGAATAATAAATATCCAATTATATACACATATCACATTTATTTAGCCATTCCTCCTTTAATGGACACTTGGATTACTTCTACCCTTTTGGCTGTTGTGAATAGTGCTGCTATGAACATGGATGTACAATGATCTGTTTAAGTCCCTACCTTTAATTCTATTTATTTATTTATTTATTTATTTATTTATTTATTTTTATGCAAGAACCAGGGTACAGGCCAGATGCGCTGGAGGGTGAGAGGATTCACTGGAGACAGGGCAGGGAACAGAACAGGCAGACTGAAGAAATACACTGCTGAGGGGAGCAGTGGGCGAGATGTGGGTATCTTCACATGTGGGTATCTTTCTGGAGGGTTGGGGATTGAACCCGCACTGCAGAGGCTGCAGACAGCTCAATCACCTGTGCCACCAGGAAGGCCCCCTACCTTTAATTCTTTTGGGTAGATACTCAGACGTGAAATTGCTGGATGTCATGGTAATTCTATGGTTGTAATTTGTTTTTGAGGAACAGTCATATTCTTTTCCACAGTGGCTGCACCATTTTATATTAGAGGGGTGGAATATTTTAAATTGTCCTGGTCCACATGCCAAGGTTACACAGCCAGTTTCCAGACACCACACTGCCCCTCCCTCCCAGCCACCCTTATTAGAGCTTGTTTATGTTTCTTATCTGTTGCCAGCTAACTTTGTATTCCATCTGCAAAGTACTCAAGCAAAACCAGTCCTCTTACATAAAGGGCAGCTCTTAAAGCAGCTCTTCTGCTAGAGCTACCAGAGAGCAGAATTATGTTTAAATCTAACTACTACAAATAATCTCAGCTACAGGTGGGCACCCCCCACCCAAGATCTTGGTTTGTCTCCTATAGGAGGAAAGGAAAAATGTTTTTCTTCTGAGATTTTTAGCAACACCCCCCCCCTTCACAAACACACCCTCCATAAAGTCATGAAATTTGAACTTGGCAGAGAGATTTAGAAGTTTCTTTGCTGGAATGACTGCTGGAGTAGATCAGGAAAAAAATTATTCCTTACATTTAAGTACGCAAAAGAACTTCTGAAACCATTTGCAACCAATCTGGCCGGAACTTAAGAGTAGCAGACAAATGCAAGACGTAAATGATACATAGAAATAATTCAAGTTGAGTTAGAAAAGAACACTGGGGCCTTCCTGGTGGCGCAGTGGTTGAGCGCTGGGTTCTGAAGCTGCCCGCGGCCTCTGCGGCGCTGGTTCGATCCCCGGCTGCTCCCCGGCCACCAGAGGAGGGTCCCACCGCCCGCTGTTCCCCTCAGCAGTGTACTTCGGTCCTTCTGCCTGCTCTGCTCCCTACTCTGGCTCTGGTGAATTCTCTCACCCTCCCGCGCTTCTGACTGTACCCAGTGCATGTATAAACAAAACAAACAAACAAATTAAATAAATAAATAAATAAATAACATGCCTCTATTAAAAAAAAAAAAGAACACTGAATCTAAAAAATAAAAGCCCAGGGCCTCCCCGGTGGCGCAGCAGTTGAGCGCTGGGTTGCGAAGCTGCGCGCGGCCTCTGCGGCGCCGGTTCGATCCCCGGCTGCTCCCCGGCCACCAGAGGAGGGTCCCACATGGCGCGCAGACCTCTCCTGCCGCCCGCTGCTCCCCTCAGCAGTGTACTTCGGTCCTTCTGCCTGCTCTGCTCCCCGCTCTGGCTCTGGTGAATTCTCTCGCCCTCCCGCGCTTCTGACTGTACCCAGTGCATGTATAAACAAAACAAACAAACAAACCAGCAAACAAAATAAATAAAGCATGCCTCTATAAAAAATAAAAAAAAAAAAAAAATTAAAAAAAAAAATAAAATAAAAAATAAAAGCCCAAAGCCAGGATTCCATTAAACTTTAGTTTGTGATCATTAAAGAATTATTACACAAGAAGGAAACATAGAAATATCATTATTCCCTATTAAATTATTTGATAAATTTAAAATCACTATTTTTGTTCTTTCTGATTACAGAACTGATACATGTTTCTAGTACAAATTGAAACATACAAAAATGTATACATAAATATGAAAACCCTAAAATGACAATGTTAATAGCTTTTTGAAGGCTTACCTGAGAAAATAAATCATTTTATGCACTAATTTACAATTTGCTTCCCTCCTTTAAAATACCTCATGTTTGGGTCTCCCTGTGGTGCAGGGATTAAAGTCTCAGAGCTATCACTAGCCACTGCAGCAGCAGACCTCTCCTGTCTCAGCTGGCTGCTCCCCTCAGCAGTGTATTTCAGTAGATCTGCCTGTTTTGCTCCACACTCTGGCTCTGGTGAATCCTCTCACACACACACACCCCCACCTCCGGCCTACACCCCAGTTCTTGAACGCATAAATAAATAAAATAAATCTTAATAAAATATATATATCTTGCAGGTCTTTCCATTTCTTGTCCCATAGATGACTGGGTATAGGTTCCATAGTATCCTAAATGGACACTGTAACCTGTTTAACTGTTTGTTTGCTGCTTGCTTGTTTTTGCTGTTACTGACACTGCACCAGTAAATAACCTTGTAGAGACTTCATTTTGCATGTGTACAAGTAACATGGCGGGATAAATTGCCAGGTCAAAGAGTATCTGTATATAAGATAGATGTGAAATTGCCACTTTGGGGATGATACCAGTTTACACTCCCACCAGCCATGTCTAGTCTGGCTTTGCCCACAGAGTGAATACAACATGTATTTTTTAACTTTCCAATCTGATATTTGGTGAGGGGAGGGGGAAGAAAAGGTGGAGCCATACAAAATATCTTAGTGTAGTTCATATTTGTGTTTCTCTTATGAGTATGAATATATTTTTCAATTTCAAACCATTATTATGTCATTTTCAGAGAACTGTCAGTTTATATCCTTTGCTCACTTTTCCACTGAGTTACAGGTCTTTTCCTTAAGATTTTTAGAAATTTTAGAGCTTTTCTTTAAATGTTAAGACAATTATGCATTTATGATATGATCTGCAAAAAAAAAATTTATCCCAGTTAATATGTTTATTGTGGCTTATAATGTGTGTTTTTGCCCAAGTATGTTTTAAAATGTCTTTTAAATTTTAAAATGCTTTTTGGATTTTAAATTATTATTATTTTTAAAAAGATTTATTTATTTATTCATACAAGCACTGGGTACAATCAGAAGCGTGGGAGGGTGAGAGAATTCACCAGAGCCAGAGCGGGGAACAGAACAGGCAGCCTGACAAAATACACTGCTGAGGGGAGCAGCTGGAGAGACAGGAGAGATCTGTTGCGCTGTGTGGGACCCTCGCTTGTGGCCAGGGATCAAACGGGTGCTGCAGAGGCTGCAGGCAACTTCCCAGCCCAGTGCTCAACCGCTGCGCCACCGGGGGAGGCCCTTAAATCATCGTTTTAAAAGCCTTTGTTACACCAAGTTTATAGGCAAATTATCCAGTGTTTTCTTCAAGAGATTACAGTTCCACATTTTATGTTATTTCTTTTGGAATTTTTCCTGATATGAAGCATCTTTATTTAGGGGTGATGTGGAAATTGTGGAACTAGCTTGTTGGGTGGCAGCTTCAGAGGAAAAGTTGCAACCACAGCTTGTGTTGGCAGATTCTGGGTGTTAATTCATCCAGGTTTTCCCTAGTTTCGCACATCCAGAGTTTGTTCAGCAGTGCCAACAGAACGTTATGATGCTGGATTCCAAGGGGAACCCTTGGCCACCACTCTGAATTACTTTAAATCCAGGACAAGTATCCTGAGAGCTGCAGAAAATGGGTGAACCGCACCCAACCAACCTCATCTGCATCAGCACCAGCACCTTATTTGGTCCACTTTGAGTTGATGGTGTCATGAGTGAGATATCAGGGACTTGTGGGAGGGAGGGTGTGTTCTTTCATGCGGGAGGAATGTAAATTGTGGTCAGAGGGCAGGCTGTGTCCAGCTGAATTTCTAAACATGGCCACAGTAACCCTCATTACACAATATGACTTTGACATGCCTCCCATTGCCAAGCAAAGTTCCTCCCTATGAATCTAGGTAGGCTTGTGATAATGGCAAAAGTGATGTTATGAACCTTCTCAGGAGAGGTTATAAATGCTGCCTGTGGGCCTCCATGGTGGCACAGGGGTTTAAGTCTCAGTTCTATCAAGCTATGGCCAGCCACTGCGTCATGAATTATATTTAAATCCAACTACTATAAATAACCTCAGCTACAGGTGGACACCCCCCACCCAAGGTCTTGGTTTATCTCCTCTAGAAGGAAAGGAAAAATGTCTTTCTTCTGGGATTTTTACCCAAAAAAAAGTATTGAGGTATAATTCACAAACAAATGCTCCAAATTAAGTGTTTGGTGTGATAGGGTTAAAATAAATATATGCATCCTGTAACCACCACTGCAACGAAGATACAAGATACACCTCAAGTTTCTCCGGTGGCTGTTTATAGTCAGTAGGCTCCCACTCCACCGCTGGTAGCCACCAATCTGTTCTCTGTATCTCTAAACTTGGGATTTTTAAGATTCCACATGTAAATGAGATCATACCTATTTGGTTTTCTCTATTTGACTTATCTCCCTTAACATAACACCCTCAAGGTCATTGCATGTCATAAATGACAGGATTTCCTTCTTTTCATGTCTGAACGATATTCCATTGTGTCTGTATGCCCCATTTTCTTTATCTGTTCCTCCACTGATAGACACTTAGGTTGTTTCTAAGTCTTGGCTATTTTTTTTTTTTTATAAAGGACTTTTTTTTTTTTTTTTTAAAGATTTATTTATTTATTTATACAAGTACTAGGTATAGTCAGAAGCGCAGGAGGGTGAGAGAATTCACCAGAGCCAGAGCGGGGAGCAGAGCAGGCAGAAGGGCCGAAGTACACTGCTGAGGGGAGCAGCGGGCGGCAGGAGAGGTCTGCACGCCATGTGGGACCCTCCTCTGGTGGCCGGGGAGCAGCCAGGGATCGAAACGGCACTGCAGAGGCTGCGGGCAGCTTCGCAACCCAGCGCTCAACCGCTGCGCCACTGGGGAGGCCCACTAAGTCTTGGCTATTATAAATAATGTTGCAATGAGCATGTAGGTGTAGGTATATGTATATATATTTAAAAAAAAAAAGATTTATTTATTTATGCATACAAGAGCTTTGGGTACAGGCCAGAGGTGTGCAGGGTGCAAGAGGATTCACAAGAGACAGAGTGGGGAGCAGAACAGGCAGACTGACTGAAACACACTGCTGAGGAGAGCAGCAGGAGAGGCAGGAGAGGTCTGCAGCACCATGTGGGTAACTCCCTGGCCAGCACTCGAACTCGTGCTGCAGTGGTTGCAGATAGCTTCATAGGTTGTGTCTTAACCCCTTGCACCACCAGGCAGGCCCCTGTAGGTATATTTTTGAGATAGTAATTTTGTTTCCTTCAGATAAATACACAGACATGGAATTACTGGATCATATGGTTGTTCTATTTTTAACTTTTTGAGGAATCTGTTTTCCATAGTCCTTGTACAACTTACACTCCCACCAACAGTGCACAGGTTTCCCTTTTCTCCACACCCCCAAAACCACTTGTTATTTCTTCTATTTTTGATAATAGCTATTCTAACAGGTGTGAGGTGACACCCATTGTGGGTTTCACTTTGGCTTGTTTTTGAAACTTTTCTTTGTCTATACCCAACCCACCCTCAGATAATTGAAAGAATCTAGTTGTAGAATTATAGTTCCAGATTAAAAATATATTTTTAAATGTTGCCTTTTCTATTTTTATGATTCTTTCTAATCACATTTAAAACTAAATTTCTGAAATGTTCAGGAACAGCAATTAAGACTTAACCACATGTGCTGTTGGTTTCCTTTCTCACCATTGTCTCTGGTTTATCGTGTTTTACCATTTCTGTATTCTCAATTCTGCTTCATGTTTATGTAGCAGGGTTGTAAATTTGCACACACACTCAGATGTGCAGACGAGGGAGATGCTTTATGTTCATGACCGATCTTTTCTTCCTTCCTTCCTTTCTCACACTGACAACAGAAGAAAACACATTAACGTGACAGTTAGCGGAATCTCTGTCTCCTCCCGATAAGACATTCCTTTTCGAGTACAGTCTCATTTCCAAATTCATCTCTTTTCCCAAAGTGGCACCTGGGCAAGGTGGGGGAGGACGACCATGTGGCTAGTCTCAGCTGGCTCCTGACCCAAGCAGATGGCCTGGTGTGGTCTCTGGCTGGAGTCTGCTGGGAACAACAGGACCCATGCGGTATGCTGTGGCATCTACTGCTACCCGCTGACCTTCCAAGCCCATGGCCATCAATAACCCTTCTCTGCCACCCCAGGACTCTTCTGGTTCTGGGTCCTCTCAGTAGGTGGGTGTCTCCTCACTGAGTCAGGCTGGGGGTCCTGCATCGCCCTGAATCACAAGAGGTCTTGAGTGGACTTGTCCACTCCTTCATCCTCCCTCTGCCTCATCTCAAATCCCTGATGGATACAGCTGCCTCAGGGTTTGAAGCCTCCCCACCCCTGCCTGTGTCCATGAGCTCTCGCATACCCACCTGGATGGTCCTGCCATATCAGGGTTCCCCAGTGCCAGACCAAGAAGAGGAAACAAGAACATGTGAGCCTGATTTCTTGGACACTCCCCTTTCTCTTCCCCTTCCCCTTCCCCTAGGTCCCAAAGAGTCAGGCTTAGTTTCCTTCAGAGGAAAAGTTAAGGTCTCTTTTAGCTGCCCTGCCCCCCTCCTCCCCTTTCTTCTTTTAGGGACCCTAGTCCCTACCACTTGCTCTTGAGATCAAGGACTGTTTTCTTCGTACTGTGAAATGAACACTGTGCTTTTGTGTTGACAGGTCTTATTTTTTTTTAAAGATTTATTTCTTTATGCATATAAGAGCGGGGGTACAGGCCAGAGGTGTGGGGGGTGAGAAGATTCACCAGAGACAGAGTGGGGAACAGAACAGGCAGATTGAACTAAGTACACTGCTGAGGGGAGCAGCGGGAGAGTCAGGAGGTCTGTTGCGCCATGTGGGTTGCTTCCTGGCTGGCTGGGAATCGAACTCGTGCTGCAGAGGCTGCAGACATCTTCATGTGTTGTGTCTTAACCCGTTGCACCACCTGGGAGGCACCCAGGCCTTATTTTTTGTTTGGAAATAGGGACTTACCAAGGAGGGAAATTATAAACCCAAAGAGAGTCCTCACAAGTTTTCCACAAGAGTTTCTTGACTGGTCTCCTATGTCATGAGGTTTTAAAAGCAGCGTCCATGCCATTATTCTCTGCTTCTATGTTTCTACTGAGTTTTCTGTTTTTATCATTATGTACTAAACCTCTAAAACCTTTTCCTCTGAGTGCCTCTCTTTCTATAACAGTTTGGTTTATTAGAAGGGGAAGTTATTGTAGTAAAATATACATAACACAAAATTTACAATTTAATCATTGTAGAACCATCACTACAATCTCTACCCCCCAAAATTTTCATTATAACCAACAAAAGTTTTGCACCCATTAAACAAAAACTTTCTCTTCCTCCTCCCACCAGACACTGCTCGCCTCCATTCTACTTTCTGTCTCTACAAATCTGCCTATCCTGGGTGCCTCATGTAGGGAGAACTATACAATATTTGTCCCAAATTTGCCTTATTTCACTCAGATGATACTTTCAAGGCTCATCAATGTGAGTCACATCTCAACATTTCATCCCTTCTTATGAACTGAATAAAACCCTACGGTGTGTGCACACCACTTTTTGTGTACTGAGTTGGTTTTTATGAGTGCAATATTCTGTCATAAATGTTATTGAATGCTAATTTGAGTATTTTAATTATAGTCCTGGGCTTCCCTGGTGGCACAAGAGGTTAAGCACCGCACTATGAAGCTATCTGCAGCCACTGCAGCACGAGTTCGATCCCTGCCAGGGAGCTAGCCACATGGTGAGGCAGACCTCGCCTGTCTCCCCTGCTGCTCCCCTCAGCAGTGTATTTCAGTCAGTCTGCCTGTTCTGTTCCCCGCTCTGTCTCTGGTGAATCCTCTCACTCCCCACACCTCTGGCCTGTAACCCAGTTCTTGTATGCCTAAATAAATCTTTAAAAAAATTATAGTCCTATTTCCTGCATTCCAAATTACCCTTCCTTTTTTTAGGATGCTGATGGTCCTTACTTGTGAGATGATTCCACCTTGCTTGTTCACACATAGGGGTGGCAGAGGCCAGCGACAACTGGAGGCTCCTTGGATATCTTCACAAGTTATCCTTTGCTTCTTCTGTGGGGCTCTCTCCTCCTCCCCAGCACCACCTGAGCACAGCGGGGGGCTGGCTCTGTGGCTGTGGGCTATCTGGAGACAGTGGAGTCAGGCAATGGGCAAATTTCCTACAGGGACTAGACCAGTCACCAGAGTGCCAAGGATAAGGCTGACCCGAGGGCACCATGAGCTGCTGGCTCACTGCCCTCTGGACCCCAGTGGAGCAGGCCCACTCTTGCCCACTTCCCCTCCTCCAGCTCTAGCAGCTGATCTCAGGGGCGTTCACGCACGGCCAGCCCAGTAACTGGACATGGCTGTACTGAGGTGGCCCCTGGAATTTGCTGGGGTGCTATACCCACTCACTTCTGCACCTGTCTCGGCAGTCCCCCACTGGCTTAGGAAGGAAGGAAGGACAGCACAGCTCAAAACCCCTCATGCCTGGAATGAAGGCCCCACCCAGAGGCTGCCGGCTCAGAGCTGGGGCCCTGCTATGTTTTGTGGGAGGTTTTCACACATTCGGTGGGGGAGCCCTCCTTTGTGGGCGCTCAGCCCAGGACCACTTGACAGCTCAGCTGAAAAGAAAACACATCTCCTCAAATAGCTCTGCTGCTGACATTCTCTCCAGGTTTCTGTTTTCCTGAAATGGATTCCTCCTCCTCCCCGCCCCTCACTCCCCCTTGTTGCATTTCTCTCTTTGATCCTTTCCCTGGAATGTGGTAAGAAAAGAGAGAAGAGTGTGTGGGACAGTCCTTGAAACCAGAAGGGAACAAGGTGATATTTGACAGGATTTTTAAATTGTGTTATGGTTTTCTCTTCTCCTGTCTTCCTTTTTTATATGTATTCGTACAAAAATGATTCCTCATGGTCTAGCATATTCCAAATTCACTGCATGATTGCATGATGTGGGGAAATATGTTCATTAGGATTATAGTTCTAAACTACGAAGTTTCATAGGTAAAGGCTCAGATCAGGGTTATAAAGTGCAGAAATTATGTGTGTATGTGAGTGCGTGCGTGCGTGTGCGTGCAAAAGTGTGTGTGCGTATATATATATATATACATAATTTTTTAAAAAGATTTATTTATACAAGAACCAGGGTACAGGCCAGATGTACGGGAGGGTGAGAGGATTCACCAGAGACAGAGTGGGGAACAGAACAGGCAGATCAACTGAAATACACTGCTGAGGGGAGCAGCGGGCGAGACAGGAGAGGTCTGCTGCGCCATGTGGACATCTCCGGAGCTGGCGGGGATCGAACCGGCACTGCAGAGGCTGCAGACAGCTTCACAGCGCTGCGCTCAACCGCCTGCGCCACCAGGGAGGCCATATATATATATATTAAAATACATATTTTAATATAAAATATTAAAATATATATATATATTTTAACTAGGAAAGAGGATCTAAATTAACCTGGATATATACACACTAAGGGCACATGTAGAGAACGAAATGAAGGCCTATTACCTAGACTCTGAAAAACAATGTTCTCTCCACCAGGGGGAGCTGTAGGGCTGTGTCTAAAGTTTTTGTTTTTTAAGAGAAATGTTTCTCCGTCTTTCTCGTACCAATTTTGAACCAGATTCTCCTGATAGACTCAGCAGAGGCAAAGAGGCCTCACAAGTGAAGGCAGAAAGCCTCAGTGGGTTCCTACAACTGGAGGCTCAGGGGAGAGGGCTTATTTGAGCCTCAGTGGACTCGGTATCTGGCGGGTCTGACTTCGCCTGGCCCTCTGACTGGCCTTGTCCCGCGGGAGCCTCCTCTTTCCCTTCCTCCCACACGCAAGCCCCGACAAGCAAAGACCCGCTTACCTAATGGCTTCAACAAAATTCCGAGCGAGTTGAGTCTCCAGCCTCTGATTGGCCTGACTTCGGTCAGGTGTCCACTCCAGTGTCTCAGTCACCTGGCACAGCGATGGGCTGGCAAGGTCAGGGTCACATGGAGCTTAAGGTGGAACCAGCCTGACCCAGATTACTCGGACAGAGGGCAGGGTGGGAGGCGCTGCAGACAGAGCAGCCTCCACGCCTTGAAGCTGGGTGATAACCACTGCACTACTGACGCTGAGCTGGGGGGTGGGTGCTGGGCAGTCCTCATGAGGTGAGGACCCAAGGGGCATGGAATGAGGTCGGGGGCGAGGGCCGCAGAGAACAGCTTGGAAGGTCAACTTCAAACTGGAGAGCCCCCTCCGCGGGCTGTTGTGAGCAGGCGGTGCTGGACTGGTGACTCAGGGGTAGGGGAATCCAGGGGGATGAAACATTTGGCATTTGGTCCCGTGAAGGGGTGAGGAGGGAGGTGTCCTCCACGTGACACGGGTGGCCAGGGAACTAAGAGGCAAAGTGCTGCATAGATCGCGGGGATGTACAAGTCACCAGAAGAGGAGAGCTGATGGAGACAGGCTGCTTGCTGGGGAGTGGCTGGCGCATTCACCAGGGGCCGTGGGGCTGAACTGCAAGCTCCTCAAAGAAGCACTGGAGAGTAAGGAGGATGCTAACCCAGCTCTGGGGTATGTGGAGTCTGGGAGCAGCCTCTGTGCAGAGAGAGTTCTTGAGTATAAAAGGAGGTGGGAGGGAATCTGTATGCATGTGAAGAATGCAGAAAGAACTGAATTTAACATGACCGATTAAACATCTATTTATCTCGTCTCCTTCCCTAAAACCCTATTGAAATTACAATAAAGGAGTAGCTCAGCTGGGCTTCAGCTGAGGACCTCTGTCGCTTTCTTTGTAGTGGCTCCATGCTGCTTGGGCTTCTTATAGTGTCAGTATTTTCTAAGACTTGTTTACATAAGGTAATTGAATCTTAACAAGGTCACCATTGCGACAATGACAGCATGGCAGTAGATAAAACCTGAAAAATAGGAGTCAAAAGATTTTGGCACATGATCAAAGTCCAGTCACACTATTAACAATTGGCCCAGCCCAACATCACTTGACATAACCACAACGTATCTCAGAGCAAGGCCTCTCAGGTTTGCAGGCTTCTACTTAGTTTCGTCAACTTCCAGAAGCAGGACTGGTCTCAGGAATGTACATCTTCACCCCTTCAGGCATCCCACGTAACTGATCTAAGAGACAACATAGTCTCTCGCTCTGAGTCTCTCTTGAGGCGTCAGTGTAATATTGGATTTCCCTCATTGCATAGCCATTTATTTACTCCTTTACACCCAGCTGTCTTTTCTCCTCTCCATTATATCCACCTTTGAGAGGGACCCAGCCACTGTACTGGTCCAGAATGCCCTCAGCAGTACTATTCTATCAAATGCCCTCTCCTGGCTCATTCCCACGCACAGGGCTGCAAGGAGCCAGACTGGGGTCATCTCCACCACTAGGCAACATAGCTATATTCACTGTTAACTCCAGTTTTGCCAGATGCCATAATGACACAGTCCTCCCCATCCAGCCTGAGGAATTCCAGCATAACAGTTTACACGTATAGCTACAGTCTCTTGCTTTGGAATCATCCCTGTTTCAGGCACTCACAGTCACAGCCCTGGGGCCTGGGGCCTGGGACCACGGCATAGATAGGGAAAAAGAAAGTAAATGATATGGAAAGAATTGTAGAATTGTGCCAGCATCTTCCCCTCCCCCTTTTCCTTCAAATCCTCCAGAAGAGTGGAGGAATCTATGTGTGATGACTCTCCCTGGGCCCCTCATATTGACTGTGAGCACACTTGTGAGGGAGTGTGAGCCGACTCATCATCCTTTATCTTCTGTTCTAGACAACAGACGTTTCCATTGTTCCTTCACATTCCAATCAAACCAAGACTCTTGGTCTGAAGAAATGTGCCTTGGCAGGCCAAATAAGAGCAATGTTTTCCCTTTCAATTCTTTCTTTTCCTCATAAATTGACGATTATGTTTTTTTTTCTGTTCATGGAGAAACATTAATACAATAAGGAGTATTAATGTCTGTTGTATTTTAATTTTCCCTTTCAATTCTTTTATAGTATTTTAAGCATTTGCATCTATCACCAAATATGTAAAGGCCAGACTGTTGAGTCCTTCCAGGTTCCCACGTGTAGCCATTTGCTGTCTCTTTCCTTTTTTTTTTTTTTTAAGGTTTTATTTTTATTTATTTATGCATATAAGGACTGGATTGTAGGCCAGAGGTGCCGGAGGACGGAGCAGTGAGAGGATTCACCAAAGATAGCATGGAGAGCAGAACAGGGGGAATCTACTGAAATACGCTGCTGAGGGGACCAGCAGGCAAGACAGGCGCGGTCTACTATGCCATGTGGGTCAGCTCCCTGGCCGGACAGGGATAGAACTCATGCTGTAGTGACTGGTGATAGCTTGATAGTGCTGAGACTTTAACCTCTGCGCCACCAGGGAGTCCCTGCTCTCTCTCTCTCTCTCTTTTTTTAAAGATTTATTTATACATACAAGTACTGGGGTACAGGCCAGAGTTGTAGGGAGTGAGAGGATTCACCAGAGACAGAGTGGGGAACAGAACAGGAAGACTGACTGAATTACACTGCTGAGGGGAGCAGCAGGTGAGTCAGGAGAGGTCTGCTGCACCATGTGGGTCTCCTCCCTGGCTGGGGATTGAACTCATGCTACAGTGGCTGCGGGTAGCTTCATAGTGCTGTTTCTTAAGCCATTGCGCCACCAGGGAGGCCCTGCTATCTCTTTCTTGTTGGCAGATAACCATTCTCATTGGCATTTTATGCCTCAGAGGGTGCAAGAGGAATATTCTGCTTTGCTGCAGAATAACCATGAACCCAGCCGGACACCTCAAGCAAACACACCAGGAAATGCACTTGCTGATTTCAATCACCTTCAGTCCTGGGAGAGAGTTCTTCTGGTGAGCACTGACACACCCTATTTTAATGCACCCCCTTAAATTCCCATAGTGGTTTCCCTTGAGCCATGCTCCTCATGAGCATCCCTTTAACAGCCAAGTTTTACATAGGCCTGAAAGGCCTGACCTACGCCTTTCACCACCACCTGTGAATTGATAAAACTCAAACATGCAAGCAATTCAGCTGAATAAGCAGATTTGATTTTACCTTTTTCAGTCAGTTTGGTGCTCTTCCAAGCAGGATACCGTCTGTTCACCTTGAAACTGCCATCCATGGGCCTCCCTGGTGGCACAGGCGGTTGAGCGCAGCGCTGTGAAGCTGTCCGCAGCCTCTGCAGCATGGGTTCAATCCCCAACCCTCTGGCAAGATACCCACATGGCGCAGCAGACCTCTCCTGTCTCGCCCACTGCTCCCCTCAGCAGTGTATTTCGTCAGTCTGCCTGTTCTGTTCCCCACTCTGTCTCTGGTGAATCCTCTCACCCTCCCGCACATCTGGCCTGTACCCTGGTTCTTGTATAAATCAATAAATCTTTAAAAAAAAAGAAAAAGGAAAAAGAAACTGCCAACCATAAACACAGAAGCTCTTTGTTGGTTAATAGAAAGCTGTTCTCACCACAACACCCAAGTGGACCAAGTGGCCATCAAATCCAGTGACTCTTCCAGTGGTTCCAAAGTTGGTCCTAGGGGAAAAGAGACACTGGTGAGCAACTGGGTGCCGGTGAGCACCGTTGCATCCCCGGATCATGTCCCCATACAAACCATCTACCTCTTGTCACGGAGCTTTCCTGGGCCCCCCTCACTTTAGAGCTTTTCACTAACATCACCCAATGCATTATGGTATTTCAGATTCAAGATTATTTTATATCATTCAATATTAGGGGCAGTTCAATTAATGCCCAAAAGTAAGCTAGTAATTGTCTTTCAAATGGGAAATTTCTGGGTTAAAATTTCTGGGTCATCTCTGAGAGTGCTTATGCTACAGCCCAGTTCTGCATGCAACAGGATAGTGTAAGTCTGTCCACACCAGTGCTCCAGCTTGAAACAAAACTTTTAACTAAAGCGGTAATCTCCTCTTGTCCTCTGGGAATTCTAAACTGTTTCAAATTAACAACCATATGGGCTTGGGCAATTTTAGTGGTTCCTATGGAGCATGACCAATCAATATTGACAGAAGGGTAGATTTACATACTGTCTATTTTATAGTGCTAGAAAGAGGACGCATTTTCCGGTGAGACATAGGTCTGTGTCTTATGCACACATCTATTATCCTGGAAGTGGCACTGTTCTGTTGGAGAGCAAATACAAAGGGTGCTGGGTCCCTAAGTCTTACCAACAGTGTCCTGCCCACCTTTTAGATAAGGGAATTTCCACTAGTCTATTAGGTAGAAAAATGGCATCTCACTACAGTGTTTATTTGGATTTCTCTCCTGAGGAAATTTGAACGTCATATATTTGAAGACTTATTACGGGCCTCCCCTGTGGCACAGTGGGTTGAGCGCAGGGCTGTGAAGCTGTCCGCAACCTCTGCAGCGCAGGTTTGATTCCTGGTTGGCCAGGGAGATACCCACATGACGCGGCAGACCTCTTCTGCCTTGTCCGCTGCTCCTCTCAGCAGTGTCTTCGATCCATCTACCTGTTCTGCTCCCCGCTCTGTCTCTGGTGAATCTTCTCGCCGCCGCCCCTCCCCCCCCACGCCTCTGGCCTGTACCCCAGTTCTTGTATAAATAAAAATAAATCTTTAAAAAAATAAAATAAAGATCACAGTCTTAAACTTTAGGAAAAAAAGACTTATTATATCTCTTTTTGTTTAACGATCTCCACAACCTTTGCTCATTTTTTCTATTAGATTTGTGATTTTCCTCTTCTCAATTGTGAAGAGGAACTCTAAGATTGTGACATGTGTTGCAGTTATTTACCCCAGTATATGTGTATTTTGACTTTATTATTTTTCATTGTGCCTTATTTTTAATTATTCTGAGATAATTGTAGATTCACATAGAATTATGAAAAAAATAAGAGCCAGCTCATGTACACTTTACTCACTTTCCCCGACTGCTGACATCTTACAGATCTATAGTGGAATATATTTCTGGTTTGTTTTTGCCACACAAAATTTTGAGTTTGTTTTTGGTTTTGTAAAGCAATGGAATTCATTGCTCTTTTTATTGATAGTTTCTGGCTTACAAAGTCCCACTTGCAATATTTGTATGGCCGCTAGAGAGAGCAGTTACTTCGATGCAGCGCACATACTTCCTTTAGTCAGGAAAAGGGAGACCTGGAGAGATATTCTTTTCCTAAAGGGATTCCTGGAAAGATGTTCTTTTCCTCATCCCACATCATGATTTCTGTCTTCCTATAGAGGCCACTGCTTGCAGCCCTAGCCTCAGACCTTGGCTTAAGTA